TGGGCTGGTCTAAGTCAGGGCAGGGCTAACTCACAGATCAAACCCTGAAACAACCTCTGGGCTGATCTAAGTCAGGGCACGGCTAACTCACAGATCGAACCCTGAAACAACCTCTGAGCTGATCTAGGTCAGGGCATGGCTAACTCACAGATCGAACCCTGAAACAACCTCTGGGCTGATCTAAGTCAGGGCATGGCTAACTCACACTAGATTGAACTCTGAAACAAATTTTTACGATTATTGCAATGAATGTAGCCATTGATTGGTCCTATTTCGTTATGCGGTTAAGCTATGATTTCCACCTCAGTTACAATACCACAGCTATCAATCATTTTCAAATTCTTAGTAAATGTTGAATATCTATTTGAGTGGACCTTACATTTTGTTATTAAAGATCGACAAATTCTTTATCTTTGCCCCAGAAGAAACTAGTATTTTCTTCGACGTTAATTAGAAATTGTCTCCAAAAATATTAAATCTATAATTCATATCTCTAACCATCGCTAACCATAAAAACCACATCTTTAATTGGCGTTTCCATTTAATAATACAGGAATTTATTCCACAAATTGATTTTTTTTTTTGTCTAATTTCTCTCTCTTTTTTCTTCTCTTTTTTTTTTCTTTTCTTTTCTTTTTGTATTCATTTCTTTCTTTTTTATTATTATTATTTAATTTTTTTTTTCTTAATTTCTTAATGTTCTTTTTTTCCCCATAAATTTCTTAATTTTTTTCTCAGTAAAATCGCTCTTACTGCTTCCAAGTGTTTCCTGTTGTTAATATCCTACAATATTTACACTACATATATATTCTGTGTTATTACTGAATGAAGATAACGATTAGTATTTCTAATATTTCAATAATATCTTACGAGAGTCGTTCATCCCACCCCACCCCTGCTGAGTATATACATTTAGCGAAAGAGGAAGTATCGATTTGGATTAGAGATTAGATTAAGTGAACATGATTTATTCTAGAGCGTAGGTAATGAATAATATGACAAGACTTTGAAGCATTTACTGGATATTTTGACTTTAATACTACAGCCATCATTTGCAAGTGGAATTGAAAATTCGATTTTAAGATGATGTCTCTAATTCTCATTGCAGTCGAAATATTCAATAAAAATGTTTGAAAGTTTCTTTATATTATTCATTGCCAAGCTGTATGCCCACAAGTACACATTTCACATCTCACATTAAAGTGTAGGTAGATTTTGAATGGGTATTGTCGCTGAGAAATGGTCGCTTTGGAAGGTTTAACTTTTAACTTTAACGAGGTCGATTTAACTTTTTAAGAGGTTGTTATAATACTATGAATCGTGTCTTTACTGCTTCGTTCTTCCCGAAAGTAACGTATGAGGATGACTAATATACGGATATACTTGTATTCAAACAATATATACATTTTTAGCTCGAGCTCCCTTTCAAAAAAAACTTTTCCATCCATCTTCGTCCCATTTTTGCCCCCCACCGTACCCCCCTCCGCTTTCTATATCCCCAACCCCTAACCCCTTCGTACCGTAATCACAATCTATTTATATACATATACATAGCAGAATTTTTTAAGTCGAAAGCGCATTCTATAATGTGACTCTAAAATGGCTTCACAATTCAACCAATCAAAGAGCAGGAAAATACATACCATCCAATCACGGTGGTGCCAAAAGCCATTTAAGCGTCACGGAGTTCTACGTTTCCCACTCGTGCAGTATCTACTATGAATAAGATATAGTAATAGTCAAATAGCGCTGATGTGTTCATTACTATTGTGGCAATTCCGTAGATTCGTGTTGGAGGTCCCGATAATGATTCCTGCACTTTCAGCCGCTTTGGAGTGAAATCTAATGGTCACATCTCTACGCCATGTTTTTCTGATCGTTCTTCGAATAGCCGATTGTATATCAGGCTTCAGAAAGCAATAGATCAAAGGATTGATCAATGATTCAAGCGCTAACATGTAGAATGCAATCACGGTTAGAACTTCTGGTACCAGGTCAGAACGGCCGAGTGTGACCGCGGTGGTGATATAGAGGAGTGGTGCCCAGCATAGTAGAAAGACACTAGCGATAGTGATGAAGACTCGGGCGACCTTCAGCTCGAAAAAAAGCCTCTTTTTCTTGGTTTGAACGGTTTGTTGGTCGGAAAGCTCGGTCTGTAGGCGGTTGGTGCATTTTTGGACCTGCTTGAAGATGTAAAAATACACGGCAAACACGAATGCATAAGGAATGATGACGCCACCGATCTCAAGGATGAAGATATACACCTTATGGGCTATAAGATAGCTATTATTATCCCAAATCACTGGAATGAGTGAGAACAATATTGGTACTGACCAACACGCGATGATCATTCTCTTGAACAACTGCTGTATATCCATGGTATAGGTCAGCGGTGAGGAGATTGACAGATACCTATCATACGTCACACAGCAGACGTTAGATACTCCAAGGAGAAGYGATATCGCTGTCATGTATCCTATTCCAGAAAAGTCAGGCACAGCTAAGTGAACGGGAAAGAAAATAGCACCCATCATAATGTCGGATATCGCTAACGATACCACGAAACCATTAGTAAAAGACCTGATATTCTTGTTGATGTACACAAGTAAACAAACCAAGACGTTTGTTGCAACAATTAACACACATAGAATACTCATAGTCGCTTGGAACACTTTTAACTCTTGCTCGTTGAGCAATACTCCCGAGCCCTGTCCATGACTGGTCGTGGTAAGATTCTCGTTCGAGCGATTCATTGTTTTTGAAGTCACGTCTTCAAAATCCATCATAACTTTCAGTCTATCTTTCAGAAGAAAAGTTCTATTTGGGTTCGGCTTCTTTCTCTAGCCGCTAATCCAACGTCTTCAGCGTTTAGATTTCTTCGTGAGCTTATATTCTTCTTTTTCAATGTAATTCCCTCTCAAAATCGCCAAGATCAAAGACTGCCCCTCGTTTTATCGTCGGTATTGCGTTGTATTAGAACCAAAACAACTTGTTTAAAATAAAAACACAATACTGCTCTTAAGTGATCTGCAGATACACTACTGTTTTGTATTCTTAACTAAACTGCAGTTTTCCAAGATGATTGACTTCCCGCATAAACAGCCTTAGTTTCTTGATACTTGAAACTTGGATTCTAAATCTATTTTATGCGTTGAAACCTCTCTCTTGTCTCTCCTTGATTTCAACGTCGTTTAAACTTATTTTTAACGAACGTCTAGTTACTGACCTCGTCCTCGTTTTTAAAGGCTCTTAGCCAAATCCCATGACGACGTTTCTCAGAATTGTTCTTGTTCACATCCTTCTTGTTCACATCCAGATTTCGCTTTATTAGCTGCTTCAATTCTAGTCGCCTCGAGTATTTTTCTGTCAGGAACAATTAGTTTTGATATTTAGATATTTTACCTCGACAAATTTTCCAAATTGCTTTGCCACTCGGTTCGCTTTAGTAATCCACACGAATGTTGATCCCAAAAATACCTCCAGAAGTATCTCTTCTTTTCTGTGAATGAATATCGTACAAGTCTCTCAGTTCTCTGTCGAAGAATTTTCAGATCTTTGAGCGACACAGCGGAAGTGTTTTCCTTGACTTCCCTACAAGATCAAAAAAAATTTTACTTTTGCAACAGCCATAATTTGCCTCTATATGATCTTGCCCCCTTCGGCAAGAAAAATTAATTCTTATTTCGGGTTTTCTCGACTTCAATTAGTCGTATTTTGCAAGAGCGCGCGTTTTGATTGGCTTGACCAGTAATTTGCCAATCAAGGTCACATGTGAATTGCTCCAATTGAACTAATGAATTCGTAATAAGGTCAGTCCATGGCTTTTTTGAAGTCGTTTTTCTGAATATTCAAATCGAGAATCCTAAGCTGTTTAAATCCTTATCCTATCGTTGTATTAGTCGAATAAGTACTTCTTTGAAACCCCTTAAGAACGATTTTAGTTCTGTTAAATATTATAGCATATCGTGTCATCCGTGTGAGAAACCAAATATCTGATCCCCCACACTATCAGGAAGTTATGGAAAATATAGATCACTAGTTTCCGTCCTTGAAAAGTTAATTCATAATAAATAAACTGATTTTCTGTGATGTGGTACATGTCATGCTTTTTCGATGGTAAATTGCAATTTTTAAGGATTTTTCTTTCTCTCTTTCTCTCTCTCTCTCTCTCTCT